AAGGTATTGTTATCGAGCCGATAAAGCCCTATATTAAGGTATCGGGTACTCAAGGAATCTGCCAATACCAGTCACCAATACCAAAGGCAAAAAAACCCCAAAAACCATCAGATATCAAGTCCTCCTCACCAATTCTTGCGGCTATACTGCAGCGGTTAGACACTCGAGTTATCGGTACTCTGTATTGATGAGTACTCAAGAGTCAATACTTGTACAAGTATCAGTCTGAAAAAGTGGTATCAAATGTCTCTCTTGAGTACAATTTCATGCAACGCTACTCTTGTCTGACTATTATTAGTAGTACAATAACGACCGCTACATGATGCCTTTGAGTTAATGCCAACAGTGTTTTATGTACAGTAAGCTCAGTATGTTTGGATATTTTCTACTGCAAGCATACTTTAAACCAGTGTTTCCCAACCTTTATTGAGCCAAGGCACATATTTTACATAAGAAAAATCTCACAGTCCACCAAAATTCTCAAAAACGTCTATACAGGTACACAGATTACTCATGTACTGTAGCTATAATCTATTTAATCGTTTTGCCTGTCACGAAACATAAATTATAGATGTAGAAATAAATAAATGGAGTCAGTAAATATATAAAGCAAGCTTTCCCTGAGGACTTCAGTTTCGGATCTTCACTTAGCTTTATCGTTATTCAAGTGACATAGTGGACACTTACATTCCTCTCGTTATCCTTCCTCAGAAGGAGAGCGGTCATGGAGGCGCAGAGCATCAACACGGCACCGACGGAGAGAGCTACACCTCCATATCTCAGCAGCCGACCGGTCCCTGAGGGAGTTTTGACCTTTGTGGGTTTCAAAAGAACCAAGTGAGACACATCAGTCAGAACCTTCCATTTGTAATACCCATGGAGGCTGCAGTGTGTCTTACCCGATGTGCGAAAGGCCCAAAACCATCACTTTGTTGAATTTTTTGGTGTCCTTCCATTGTCGCCCTGCAACTCGTCCGTCCTGAAAACTCTGCTGCTTCTCTTTGGAGACTCGCGCTGCGCTGAGTGTCCTGGGACTGGCTGGCGACCAGTTCAGGGTGTAGTCCGCCTTTCGACCGCAGTCTGCTGGGATCGACTCCAGCACCTCCAGCGAGCCTGTACAGGATAATTCGTGCACATTTAAATGTCATTAATTTTATTGCAGTAGGGCGGCCATAAACGTGGAATGTTTTTGGGCCATTTCGAAAAAAATGAAATAAGTGTCATCACTGTGGAGGCGGGAAGCTTGTTTCAGTTTGTGTGCTCCAGTGTGATTAATGCTGCCTTTATCCTCTTAATAGTTTAATGAGCTCTGTGATCCGCAGCACTGCGTCTAGACTCACCACGCACAATCAAACACAAGCACAGGGCTTAATTCATTAAGGTGGCACTTCGAAAGCCAGCTCGGCGGTCGGGGCCAGTCACATGATCTCACCCATGCTTCAAATGGAGGAAAAAAAAAAACAAGAGGGGGAAAAAAAAAACAAACAGGGTAAGGGAGTCAAATATGCAGTGCTGCTGTTGCTTGGAAACAGATTGAACCTCATTTTCTGGATAATTGTTATGCTGGAAGGCAATCAGAAAGGTGATGGAGTTATTTGACCTTTGCAAAAAAAAAAATCTGCAATTGTGATGCGCATTTGATCAACAAGGCAGTATTTGCATGCAAATTGAAGGCGGCACACAGAATGACTATGACACTGTCTTATGCATGTTATCAGTTTAGCACAAGACACGTTTATGAGGTTATTTAGTTTATTTTCACAATCATTTTATGGGATTTCCAATGCAAAAAGTAATGAACTGTAATAGTCGGGAAATGGGCATTTTGAAAATGAATCATTACAGCAATAACACATTATGGATTTGTCATTATTCATCAGATGGGAATTAAGTCAAATATAAACCAAAAATTTGTTCATTACAACAATTTAATTTCATTCAAGTTTTGTCTTTTTTTTATATGCATTAAGATTTGGCAAAGAGCATTGCAGTCAATTATATTTTTGGGTGTAATTTTCATTTGATGAAGTAAATTAGATGGACCATCTTCCCTCTAAAATTTAGTAGGATTCTGTGAATTGATCACCGTTTTTGCCAATGCATGCATCCAGAAACAGCTTTTCTTGTCATATGTTTCAGAGTTTGCCCATGAACTGTGAATCTCATCGATATGTTTTATGTGTGTGAAGTAAGAAGTGGTTAACCCTGTCAATACATGTGAGAGAGAAATCGATATGTTTTTGTTTTAGCACTGACACCCCCATACACGATCAGCTTGGTTAAGTATAATCATGATTATGTGTTTTTAATTCTGTCATATAGGCTTGATGTCTCACGGCATATAAACTTGGATTACTCAGCGACAGCTTATCAGTACGTCGAGCTTTCGACAAGAGTGTCAGCTCTCTTCCGTGTGTTCTGCATCCAGCCCTGCTCTCTGTAGCTACTTTGTATTTTCATAGATTGACTTTTACTTTTCAATTTCAGTGTCATGTCATTTTCTGAGTCCTAATTCTGCTCGACATGTGACAGGCAAAAATATGAGACGCATGATGCGTGGGTCCTTTTGTTCGAGAGGCCACATCCTTGACTTGCTTCAAGTGCTGCCAACCCACTCTTTACCACAACATTCACTCAAGTCTTAAGGTAAGATTACTGTACGTAGTTATTTACACACTTCTCATGATTATTTGGTAGTATACAGAAAGTCAACAGTGACTTCATTGGGGGGTTTGGAACTTTGTTTTGTCAATTACATCGACATTTTGGCACATGATGTCAGCCATGTTTGAGGAATTTTAATGAGATTTCGATGAGTCTATTCTCAAGATTATTGAGTCGGTTTTTGTACAGAAAGTGTGACCATTGTTAAATTCACACATTTTTAAGGGTTTGGCAGTTTCTTTTGTCAAGGAATATTTCAACTTATTTAAATTCAAGGCCATCTTTATAGTCATTTTTTATTTTTTTTTTTTTTTTTTTTTTTTTTTTTTTTAATAATGTTGTCTTTACAATGCCATGTTTGAGGAGCATGTTTTTAAGAGGATTTAGTAGGATCTTATCCAGAAACTAACCTACTATAACACCTGTGTCAAACTCAAGGCCCGGGGGCCAGATCTGGCCCATCACATCATTTTATGTGGCCCGTGAAAGCAAATCAAACATCAAACACGACCATGATGCTTGCTAAAATCTCTCCCAAAATTTAACATTATCATATTTAATAAATTAGAGACATATTGTAAGCATTTTTTGTGACCAAACCCCTCATTACAGTAATTTAAACAATAGCTGAATAAACCGTGATTATTGACTTTTTTACATGGTTTCAGTCATAACGACCCTCCCAGGGAAACAGCGATTAAAATGTGGCCCACGACAAAAATGAGTTTGACACCCTTGCACTAAAATGACTGCGATACTGTCATGCACGGAGGTTTGGGGTTTATCATGTCATTCATGAAAATAAATTAATAATATTAATTCAAATGAATAATAATAATAATAATAATAATTCCATAATGAATGTTGTTAGTGTCGCCTGCCCATTTCTTCAGATGAGAATTCAGATTTTTTTTTTTTAAGACGAATTTGTGAATTTTGTGTCTTTTTTGGAACCACAGTGCCAATTATCAGTTAAAGACCATTGGGGACATTTTATATGGAAATGTTACAAATTAGTACGAGTTTGTGCTGGAATCGGTTTCCGTTCAGTGACGATGTGGGTGTGTATGGTTGTTCATCTCTGTGAGTGTCCTGGGACTGGCTGGCGACCAGTTCAGGGTGTAGTCCGCCTTTCGACCGCAGTCTGCTGGGATCGACTCCAGCACCTCCAGCGAGCCTGTACAGGATAATTCGTGCACATTTAAATGTCATTAATTTTATTGCAGTAGGGCGGCCATACATAAACGTGGAATGTTTTTGGGCCATTTCGAAAAAAATGAATGGATTTTTTTTTTTTTTTTTTTTAAGTCTAGATCTGATTGTGTAAATATCCCAGAAGACCATATTGACCAGTAGGACAAACATTCATTTTTCACTTTTTATTTGTGCAACAACGTGACCAAGAAAAAAAAATGTACCACTAACATTGTTCATATTGATTGTTTTTCACAGCAGAAAGAGCCCCTTGATGCCCCATGTCCCTTTTAAATAACACATGCTCTTGAAAAGTCTTAATAAAAGTCATCATAATTTACACTGAAGCCTTATGAAAAATATATTATTAATGTACAAAATTTTTGCATATTACACATGATCTTACACATAAAACAGGCCCACAGACAAATGACATACAACCAATCACAACACACGGTCGAGTCACTTAAGAGCTACTGTACAATGAAATGTTTTTAAGAGTTTGTGTACTCTGGAATGGAGATCTCATCAGTTTCCTGTATTCTGGCCGGTGTGGGCGGGCCAACGAGAATATAATCAAACTCCTGGTGTTGGACTTTTTCATACACGCTTTGCAGGCCATTGCCTTTGGGCACATGCGACGGATAGTAGTGTTCCCTCCTGCTGTCCCGGGGAAGCGAAGCTGTCTTGGAGAAGGTTGAGAGGTTGGACCCGGAGGCGATGCTTGTGTTGGGCCTGGTGGCTGACGGGCTCCAGCATCTGTCCGAGTGGCCCAGCACTTTGCACTCGCTCGTGCACGCCCACAGAGCTGCCGGGAGAACGACATTTATTGTTTGACCTTGATGCGAGATAATTGCCACAATGCCATGATGCTCACCGTTTGTGGGTGGCGAATCTTTTTTGTGCACGTCCCCACTTATGTCGGAATCGCTGTCGTTAAAGTCGCTGTCCCCTTTGCCGCTGTCCTTGCCGCTGATGTGAGGGTCTCTGGCTGAGATTGTTGTGAACGAATTACCCTTCCATATTGTTATTGGTCTGACGGCTTCCTTCCCGTAGCCGGGTAGAGTTGAGTAGCCCTGAAAGTTACAAGAGAGAAGAAATGAGCCCAGATGAATAGCAAGAAACATTTTCATTCCATCCAAAATCCAATGATTTAGCCAGTGTTAACCTCTTCAAGGTGACTGGTGAGCTGGAGTATATCTCAGTTGGGTAGACCCTGAACTGGTCCCCAGCTAATCACAATCCCATATCGAGACACATTTAACTTCACGGAAATCAGGCTAGTGAACCACGACCAGTCAGTGATCCCATGCATGCATTTACTTCACATCTTATGCTGTTCAGAGTCGAGGGGAAAACTGAGCCCGGACGAAAGGCGGCCTACACACTTGACTGCTCACCAGTCAATCATATACCGTCGAGACAGACACATTCATATTCAAACAGTCACTGAGTGGTAAGGCCGCCTACATCGAAGTTAGGCGAATGTACCACTGCACTATCCCATGACTGACTTACCTTTAATTTGCCCTCCATGACCCTGTTGTTGGGCTCAAAGCCACCTGCCGCCTGGTGCCTGTCCTCGCACGTCATCTCAGCAACATTGCTCGTGGCCACGGGCGGCTGCTCGGGGTAGGGGTGCGGCTCGAAGGCTTTGCCCATGTGGCCGGCGATCAGCGTGTCCACGCGAGCGCTTTCCACGCTCTCAGCCTTTTTGGGTGCCTCCTCTCTGTCATCGTAACCCTCTCTCGTCTCCTTCCTGCGACGGCTGCAAATGGTTGTGATGAGAATGATAGCCAGCAGGAGGAGGGAGCAGCTCCCTGCCAGGACGATGATAACGGCGACGGACGTGTCCCACTCAAACAGATAGTCGCCGCCGTCCTGATCGGATGAGGGCACACTGGGGACGGTGCCTTCTATGAAATTGAAGTGTATGATTGCAGTGGAGGTCAGTGAAGGGGAACCATTGTCGCTGACCGACACCACCACTTTGACGTTGTCCGTGAGGTCATACGTCAGCTGTCGGCTCACATGCACCTTCCCGGTGTCTTTGTCTACAGAGAAGCCCAGGAGCCCCCCCTCTGTGATCTTGTAGGACAACTGTGCGTTCAGGCCCTCGTCTGCATCTGTGGCCTTTATGCGTGTAACCAGGTAACCCGCAGGGGCGTCTTTAGGCAGGAAGACATCCGCAGAGCCTTTGTAAAGAGGCGGTTCGATGATCGAAGGCTCGTTGTCGTTCTGATCGACTATTTTTAACCGGATGACAGCCGTGCTCTGCAGCTGCGGAGAGCCGCCGTCGCTGGCTTGGACGTGCACATCCAACTGCCTCATGACTTCATAGTTGAAACTACGTAGGGCGTAAATGGACCCCGACACTGAATTGAGTGAGACAAAGGTGTTCACGGGAGACCCCATAATGAGACTGTCCACAAGTCTGTAGGTGATTTTACCATTGTGGGCCAAATCGGCGTCTGTCGCCTCCACGGTGGCCAGGTAGGCGCCCGGAGCGTTATTTTCCGCTACCGAAACCTCGTACACGGGCTTGGTGAAGTGCGGGGCATTGTCGTTCTCGTCGCTGATTCGGATAGTGTACTGGGTGATCTTTCTGAGAGGGGGTGACCCAAAGTCCTCGGCCATGACTGTGAGATTGTACTCACTGATTCTCTCGCGGTCTAAAGGGGCCGCCGTCACTATCATGTAACTGTCCTCGTAGGCTTGCCGTAGTTTGAAGTGTTCGTGGCCGTAGAGGGTGCAGTGGACCTGGCTGTTGACCCCGGAGTCCCGGTCCGAGGTGGTGACCAGGGCCACCAGGCTGTCCTTTTCCGCTGCCTCGCTAATGTGCGCCGTGCCTGTGGTGATGGAGGTCATGGGGGTGATGCTGATGCCCGGCGCATTGTCGTTGACGTCGCTGACGTGGATGACAATTTTGCATACCGAGGGGGTCGGGTTGGGGCCTAAGTCGGTGGCCTGCACGTCCAGCTCATACGTACGTTTGTTCTCAAAGTCTACCGGGCTCCTCAGAGTCAAGCGGCCCAATTTGGTATCCACGTGGAAAAGATCGCGGATCTGTTGCGAAACCTGTTTTCCGAAACCGTAGATGACTTCGCCGTTCGGACCCTCGTCAGCATCCACGGCGTTCAGGTCCAGTATCACGCTGCCGACCGGTGCATCCTCTGGCAAACTCACAGAGAAACTATTCTGATCAAAAACAGGACTGTTGTCATTAAAGTCCATCACTCGGACCGTTATCTTGGTTGAGGCGGACCTGGCCGGGTTGCCACCGTCTGTGGCCATCAGATCCAAAGAGAGCGACGTCTGGGTCTCCCTGTCGAGCTCTTTCATTAGAACCAATTCTGCATATTTTACCCCGTCCGCTCTCTGGAGCACATCGATGGTGAAGTGACTGTTAACAGAAATCTGATAGCTTTGGATGTAGTTGGAGCCCACGTCCGCGTCCACCGCCGGGTCCAGAGGAATATGAGAGCCCACGGCTGCGTTCTCGGAGATCTCCACCACAGACTCGGCGCTGGGAAACTCTGGGGAGTTGTCGTTGATGTCTTTTACCTCCACCTCGACGTGGATCAATCTGTAGCGCTCTTTGGAGAAATTCACCACGTCAAAAGTGACGAGACACTGTGGAGTGTGTCGGCACATTCTCTCGCGGTCCATCCGCTCGCCGACGCTCAGCTGGCCGTCGCTCTCTCTCACCCGGATGAACGAGTCATTAAACTGCCTCATCATCCTAAAATTGGTCCTGGAGGAGTGGGGCAGGCTCAAGGACATGTCCTTGGCCAGGTTTCCGATAACGGTGCCAGTCGCCTCCTCCTCATTGCACTGGTAGCGGATCGTATTCCCCTCGGTCCGAGCCAGAGAGGCGCATAGAAACGGATGAAAGGAGAGCACAAATATCCACCAGTGGTAATAAGTAATAAACAGCATATTGATAATATCCATCGGGATGGCAGAGACAGAAATCGATCCACCTCTGGAGCGAACCCGCCGCGCACTGACACTGAGAGCTCCGAGCGGACTGCGGGGAGAAAGTTACTTTGCGCCTTTACGCACACGCAGCAGCCAGTCACGGACACGCTTGTGACGCGACTCCGACACCTCCGAATCCTGCACTGGCGAGGTTTGGAGCGCTCGCCGTGCTAATAAGACCAAGTGTGGCCAATCCGCGTCTTTAGAATTATATATTTATATCGAAGAAACGCGTACATGCGAGCCTGTTGTTGGGGCGCAAGACGGCAATTTGAATACGAGCACAACCGTCGTGCGCCGCTTTGTGATAGTTTCGAGCGCCGTTTATCGCCTTGCTGCAGCTTTTATTTACTGGAGCAAAACACATTATTTCTCTCTTTTGCGGTGGCACTTATTGTCTTTAGCACCGTGTGTGTGTGTGTGTGTGCGTGTGTGCGTGTGCGGACACGCGCACGCCAATTACACGTCTCTCTGAAATTAAAACATTTGCATATTTGACCAAAATGACAAAAGAAATTAGTGGGGAGCTATCATGGTGGTTAATACCTTGCAAGCATGTCATATCAACCACCCCATATTTAAAACAAAAAACGAAGAAAGGAAAAAAAAAAGGACAGATACATTTTATTGAAGCGACAGTCACTCACAAGGCACTCATCAACAGAGAAATTCAATAGTGTGAGAAACCTCATAAAACCAATTTCTTTATATTCTCTATCTTTTACAATACAGTGCTATTTTTCTTCATTATAAAATATGTAACAAATATATTTGTTCCATATGGTTTGTGGCCGGAAAGGATAAATGGCATAACAATTAATTTCAGTCGGGAAAATCATAATTGAAAAAGCTTGTTATTTTGGCATAATGGTTTAATTGCACAAAACAAACAAACAAATGAACAAACTTCCTAACTTCTATTTTTTTAGTGTTCTGTTTTATTGAGTAGTTTGCTGAGCGAGTGTCTGACTTCTGACCTTAATTTTATGTACCACTAGGAGCAGCAGAGTCCACTGACCCCCAAGTTGCCATGGAAACAGCATAGTGGGCAGGACTGAAGTTTGTGACGTAACCATTCGAATGACGAGAGCTCTAGAAAATCATTTGGGATTTTTTGGGGTTTTTTTTCAGATTCATCAAAATGAGATTGTGGGCAACAAGTGCCGCAACCAAGTGGAGACTGTGGAGTGTAATACTGCAGCATCAGGAGCCAAAGCAAAGCCACACAGTAAGCATTCATGACTGTGTTTATATTTCTGTTATTACAAGCCATCAAACAGGTGTTTATCCACCCAAATTAAAGTAGCACTATCGGAAAAACATCCATGCAGGTACTTTTTCTAATATAAGGTTTAAAAATGACTACAGTCCTGTCAGGCTGAATAAGTATCGGGCAATGGAAGGTAGAAGCTATCCCTGCCGATTGCTGATTTTGGGCAAGTAGTGCGGAACATCTTGGATTGAAGCTCCGATACATGTTTTTATAATGTGGGAGTATGGTGTGTTCCCCCTTAAACACGTGAAGAACATGTGAACTAATACAGAGAAATGTCCAGACTGAGATTCAAACCCAGCGTCATTTTGTTGTGAGGCATCAGTGCCAAACACACAGTCCCCGTGACTACCCCTTGCACAGCGAAAGCTTCCAAAGCCTTCTTATGGTGGGGGGACTTCTACAGCTACGTATTCTTAAAGAAAGAAAACATGCATTTGAATAAAAGGTCAGGCAGGAAAAGTCAAAGGCCAGACAAAAGTTGTTCCTTTTTTTTTTTTCAAGTGCGCTTTGAAAACCTCTACATATTCACGGCTTGTTTGCACAGTGCAATATTTTTGTGAAAATGCTTGGGATACTGAATAATAGAATGCCAGACATTATGGTATATGATATAAAAAGGAAAAGTTATTTTATGAAACTACTCAAGGCTGGATTTACAAGGCACGTCCAAGTGCCCACATTGAATGCATTGAAATGATGCTTTTGGACCAATGCACAGTGGTACCTCTGCTTACGAACGTCTCTTCATACGAAATGTTCAAGTTACGAAATGCCTCAATGGTAAAATATTGTCTCTTGTTATGAAAGAAATTTCAAGTTACGAAAGGTAAAAATACAGTATGGGCGGCTAGTCGCAGTTTCCGAGTTTCCTGAATGCAACATACTTATAGCTGCTCTGCCATTGGCTACTACCGAGCATCATCCTGGAATCCCATTGGCTAAAAGGGACCTCTACCGTATTTGTCTATGTGAATAGAATAGATAGATAAATAGATACGTGTCTATACAACGTCCTCGTCATTCGCCTCTCGGGCCACGAGGTGTGCCGATAGTTTTACGTAAATGTGAATCACCCAGACAAAGTCGTCACCAGTCGGGCAATCGCTCACCATGCTGATGTTTGCCTTGGCCATTTTCGAAGGCTTGTTAAAGGCCGACAAAAGCCAACGTCCTTGGACTGGTTCGTGACAAAACGCCAGGCAAAAACCACTTCTGAGGGCGAACATGAACTAAAGAGGGCAAAAAAACGGCGAGGATGCAGTTAAAAGTTAAATGACCATCATTTTTATTTTTTTACTCTGTTCTTTGTTTTTTACATTGTGCACAACTCTCATTTAATGTGCAATCATCTAATTGTAACATGTATTGATTACATATTTTAATGCAGTTTTATGCTTAGAAAACATTTATGTCTGAATTTTGGGGGGGTCTTGGAACAGATTAGGGCATTTACATGGAAAATGCGTCTCTACTTACTAAATTTTCTTGTTAAGAAATTTCTTCCAGAACCAATTAATTTCATAAGTAGAGGTACCACTGTATTTCCATATACATTTCAAGTGGCACAAATCTCAGATGGCTGCGTTTACACTTTAGTTTGACATTGACCCACACACTCAAATTCCCGAATTGCGCCGAGGTTCAGTCAGGTCCATAAATGTCTTCTAAAAAAAACACCACCATAGATTTGAAATAGAACAAGCAAGACGGGCTTTAAAAGCAGGATTGGAGTTTTCATTTTAGGGCATTACATTCAAATCAGGTGAATGCTGTCGGAAGATGTGCCTCCCATTCCTTCAGAGACAAAAAAGTAATGGAACAAATTAATAATCATAAAGCAACTTGGTAACAAAAGCCGGTGTCTCCATTGGCCCAGCAGTATATGGATCGGGGTGTCCAGTCGCACAGAGCTGCCATCGCAAAAGGGCAAATTTCAGCAATTCAAAAAATAGGGTATGGAAAGTGGAATACAATTCTTGATCCTTTGGGTATGTTACAGTCATTTTTCTAGAACACAGAAATGCACGTCTCGTGACAACGAAACATCATTCACACATCGTTCCCACATCGGATGTGATAGTCTTCCATGCGCATGTACTTATTCGGTACTAACCGCTGAATCCAAACCCAATAATTAGCAGTGCAGGTACAATGCTGCAGCGTCAGTGGGTAAGCGGTTGACCAAAACGGCATGTTGGAAATGGCAAAAAAAATAAAAATAAATTGGGTTTGGAAGATTTGCTCACTATCTGCTAAACTGGCAGAATGTTACCCTGCCAGTAATTCATTGAAGTTACCCAACATCATTTCTTAACAAGGTGTTTCACCTTTTTTTTTTTAATTCTCAATTGTGCTAATGCTGAAGCTGATTTTTTTTAGGTTAGCTTTTTACTTATATAAGTGTTCATAAATAGGACACACAAGCTCAGGTCATGTTTTAAAGTGTACACCATCATGTCTGGGAAATGCACAGATATTCTGTCAAATATTTTTCACTCTACGTCCTCCATGTTTTGTTTTCATCATTTTGTACTTATGTCAGAGATATGAGCTGAAAGGAATGACAAACAATAAGCATTTTTTTTTTTTTTACCCCTTCAGCCTCAGCTTATTTGCCGCCCATCTTTATTCACGCATCTTTATTTTCGCCACGTCAAAATCTTCGTCTGCTATACATCTTAATGAAAAGATGTTGAGGATGACAGATTGTGTCCATTTGGCTGCGAGTGATCCGCCATCAGTCACGGCGCGTGCACACTCACCACGTAAGACAAAGACTTTGACAATAATGAAGTGAAACATCGGGAAAAGCCCAGAGAGGCACAGTGAAGTGGAAGAGGATGCAGCTGACAGCCGTGTGTAGGAGCCGCGTTAGGCTCGCAATCTTCATGTTCCTCAAAGAAAATATCACACTGGGAATAAAAATGTTTGTGAAAAGCATTTCACAGCAGCGCAGTACTACGCAGAATGTCATTAATTTATCACCAGCCTGTACTACAGAGGGTTGGGATGTATATATTATTTTTAAAAGGGGACTCAAGTGTCATTCTTCGATAGTATATTTGTTGAGACTGAATCGACAGCGCCTCTGCTGGCTGCAACCAAGTAATGCACTCTATTTTGGCGTATAATCAACAATCAACTCCACCCAACCAGCAGAATTCTGAAAAGCTAAAAGTTTTTGCTTGACTATATTAGGAATTCACCAGCGCAGATCTAGATTTGTCATACTGCCATACAAGCGTGAAATTAAGTCAAATGCATTCAAGATCAGTACGTTAACACAAATAAACAGTCTTAACCTTCACGACTCATTACAACGTGAAGGTAATGTTGGAGTCGTTTTATAACAATTACTGATTCCTGTCACACAAATGCTTTCAGTGTTGATGTTACTTTTCTTCTCCTCCCGTGTTGTTCAAAAACACCTCTCGTTGACATTTGGGCCGTCTTTCTGGATAAAAAAAAAAAAAAAAAAAACGAAGAAAAGTGATATTAGGTGGGAAATTCTTTCTATGTCACTATACCACACAGGGAAGCAACCAAGAATTATCTGCTTTGTTCATTTCTTGCAGGAAACAGGAGATATAGATATAGTACTGTACAGAGCAGGCACACAAGGTCTTCTGACACTTGAACAGCCACTTCGCTTATAACAGTCCCTGACAGTTTGAAGAGAACTTGAGGGAATAACCTTTAGCAATGAACTACACGCTTCTAAAGACAAAAACCTGATCTGATCATGTGCCACTGGTTCAATTTCAGATTGGTGTGACATGTCAGAGGTTTCATGGTATGGGCGAAGCTACTTTCTGTACGCCTTTAAAATGAGTTTTGAGTCTGATCCTGAGTAGAAGTTAATTAATTTGTCCATAGGGAAGCTTCACATTAAATTTAATCAAAATGTGATCAAAGTTATAATGGAAAATAAAGAACAGTGCGCACACATGCTCAGGAAAAAACGCGAGCTCCTCAGTTGTTGGAGGTAATTTTGTGAAGCTTAACAATGGGCAAACATTAAGAGGTGATGATATTGTCATGTTTTATATTGAGTGCATTCGCTCTACAGCACTGAGGACACGTGTCGTACAAACATATTATTCTCACCCTGAACCCACACTCCTTCCACATCACATGAGTTTATCTCCAAATGAACTAGTGGATGTTTGATACAACGAGACAGCTCCAAGGGCTGACTGAAGCCACAGTGTGTTAAAAGCTGGCAACTGATCGTATTTTGAGAACTGGCTAACTATTGAAAAAATACAAAACTCTCATTTTGTTTTGTTTCCTTTTGCTTCACTATCACAGATGTCCTTCAAGGTGAGCTGTCCTTGCATCATGCTCTTGAAAACACAATGAAGACGCTGGCCCACAGCATCTACAGTTAATTCCTCTGCAAGTTGAAAGAAAATACAAATGCACACCAGGAAGGAGCATTGTGTTTTTGAAAAGTGATTCGATGGATGAAAACAAAACAAAACAAAAATCACATTTAAAGCACATAAAATAGGTTAGAGGTACTGTATTTTCCACACTATAAGGCGCTTCGGAGTGTAAGGCACCCCTTCAATGAATGCCCTATTTTAAAACTGTTATCATATATAGGGCGCACCGCTTCGTAAGGTAAATTGAATAGAAACTACGATAGTGGCTGTAGTTGCATTATGCATCCACAAGATGGAGCTACGCTCAAGGGAATACAATAGAGTACAATACAGCTTTAGTTATATAGAGCTTTCACAACCGCTGCAGCTGTAACAACGCGCTTCACAGAACATTTATAATACTACGTCCAACAAATCAGAATATTGATCCATATATAAAGCGCATCGGATTATAAGGCGCACTGTCAACTTTTGAGAAAATTAAATGCTTTTAGGGCCAATTTATAGTGCGGAAAAATGCGGTATTCACTCCCATTCCTGTGTTAGTTTCTTTTGCTGTACAGGCGGGGCAGACCTGATTTTGCCAAGATTGACCTGTGAAAGGCAGCATGGTGCTCGCTATGCGTACAGTAAATGCTTTGCTTCAAATAGCTGGCAGGACTTTGCCCCCCATGAGAGCAATATCCATTTAACAAATACATTTTTTTTAAACAAAAAACACTTTTTTTGTTGTTTGCTGTTAAGCGTCATCCATCTGTCTAATATATGGTTCACATTTGGCAGCAAGGACTTTTCAAGGTAAGTCTTCTTTGAGGCTATTTCTTATACATTGGATAGATATTCCTCTCAATTAAAGTTGCTTCGTGAAACTTCATTCAAGGACTGAACTTTCTCGAAATCACAGGCTCTCAAGCCAGTTTGCCAAGGTCATGTCCACCACCGCAAAAGTCAATTTTCACCAGGATCGACACGCCTGCCAAATATTGTGAGGGAAATAAAGCAAAGCAAAGTAAGCACTGAAGAAACAAAACAATTTTACGCTGCACGCTTGGACCTTTAATTACGGGTAGTAGCCTGCAAACAAATGTTAGTCAGAAAGCCTATGACTTTTTTTTCCTATTTTTCTGTCTAATTCGGCATCCTCATTACAGCTGCGGGTCAGCTGGACCTATCCCAGCACCCTAAACTGGCTGCAAGTCAATCTCAGGGTTCGTACCGTATAAACACCCAGCCATTCACACAAGCGTGTTTTGCGAATGTGGCGGTTAGCAATGGGAGAGAGTATAGAAACAACACACAGTAGGGCCAGTGCGTCTGTTCAAACCCCGAGCCTCAGAATTTGCAAGGCAGCCGTGCTAGCCACTATAGCACTCACTGTGCGGCCAACTGTCATTCCGTACATGAAAAACAAATCCTATGAAAGCGACCTGCAATAGCAAGAGCTTAATGTAATGTACTTTTAATGACGTAAATGAAAGAGCAGAGTGCATTGCGGATGGCTCATTAAACAGGCTGATAGATACTCGCTGCTTGTTTCACCGCCATTTAAAGGCGTACGTTACGTAGGCTGGTTTTTATTTTAATGAGAACAGAGGTGATTATAGCTGCGGCGTAGGCGTTCTTTTTCTATGGATTACATTGAACCGGGTCAAACGGCGCCGGCGCTCGATGGATTATCACACAACAATAGAGCATTAGTTTTATTTATTTATTTTTTATTTTACCGGCACCCCAAAGTAGTTGTGTGTGTATGTGAATTTACGATGACTGCATGACTGTTTCAGGATGAGGAGAAGCCGTTTAGCAGCTGGTGGTGTAAAAACGCAGACTTTGGCGCGAGACTTATTTGCGTATTTAGTTTTGGACTCTTGTTGATCTAAAATGCAGTATTTTTTTTTTTTTTATGCTATGATGTTCAAGATGAATTGTGACTCAGTCTGACAGAAGCAATAATTACAGTGTGGGGAGCAAACACTTAACATAAATCATTAACCAAGTGAATGACTATTTTTTTTTCTTACATTCTGTATGCTGCATTATACATTAGGCTTCATTATGATCACTGAAAGCATTTATCCAAATGTTTAGATTGTTCCTGGGAGAGTGATCCATCATGAAAATGAAGCGTGACACAAATGGAAAAAATTGTGCCAGTACTTGCAATGATCATTCTTATTTAATTGCACTGCTTGTCGCTCTTTCCTTGAAAGTTAGTCCGATCACGACACATCACCGAGCTAGTTAGGGAGCTACGCAGCTAATGGAAAATGTAGGCTAATAAAGAAAGAAAGAAAGAAAAAAAAAAGATCTTTGAAATATCCAGTTGGCCCACAGACACAATTCCACATTTAATAGGATTGTAAACGCATTCTGTTTCAAGGGGTTTGCCTTTGCATTTAGAGTTGTCTAATCACAGTGGTCCGTAAAATGCCTGAAGAAACGCCGTGATCGTCTGCGCTTGTGGAGGGCACTCTGCTGCACGCTCTCTCACTGCGATTAGAACTCAGCGGCATATTACAGTGCAGGGGCTCAATTGAATATCGCTCCGTTGGGAGCCCGCTCGCTTTAAAGAACTCAATATGCTGGCTCTTTGTGGCGCCATAATGCTTTCCTTTTGCACATCTGTCTCCCACTTACGTGCCTCTGCATGGGCCTTCAATACTACCTCTTTTCTATATGTTTTATAATCCTTTATAGTGTTCATGGTAAGGTTTTCAATGTCTATTGTGTGGTGCAGCTATATGGTAAATGCCAATCTTTTATTTATTTGTACAATGAAAATCCGATAAAAACTCACCTCGGTATATACGTAATGATCACTGTCGAAGAATTTCAGATCACCTTATGTGCACCTTATATGCGTTGCTCTTCATATATTGCGTCGTGCAAAGCTGCACCCGGCTCATTGGAGAGCAATTAGGTCTTTATTTTGTTTTTCTTGCTGGAGGAAACGGCAACATGGTCTCGAAAGGAGCCGAGACTCGAGGCCATGGAGCCCGAGCAGCAAATAACATACAGAATAGCTAAATTAATAAGCATCTGGCTTGTTTTCGTGCAACGTCTGTTTCTCCCAACTTTGAACAACAACTCAACTTTAAACATCAAAAGCTTTCCACTCGCTCTACCACAGTGGGACATCCAGAATTGACCTCAGTCTGTCTCTCGATGCCGTTTGACTTGAGTGTTGTTGTTGTAATTACTGGTAAAACATAAAATGACATATGGGGCTGCATGGTGGTACAGTGGTTCGTTTGTCTGAATCACAGTTCCATGGGTTCCAGGTTCCCTCCCTGGCTCCTGCTTTTCTGTGTAGGATTTGCGTGTTTTCTTCACCGTTGCGTGAGTTTTCGCCGGGTACTCCATTCTCCTCCCACAATCCAAAAACATCCATGTTAGGTTCACTAAAAACTCAGAATTGTCCGTTTGGTTGAAAGTGAATGCTTGCTTGAGCTGGACTCGAATTAGGTACCTCGGCACTGTGAGGTCGACGTGCTAACCACTTAGGTGGGAAATTCTTTCTATGTCACTATACCACACAGGGAAGCAACCAAGAATTATCTGCTTTGTTCATTTCTTGCAGGAAACAGGAGATATAGATATAGTACTGTACAGAGCAGGCACACAAGGTCTTCTGACACTTGAACAGCCACTTCGCTTATAACAGTCCCTGACAGTTTGAAGAGAACTTGAGGGAATAACCTTTAGCAATGAACTACACGCTTCTAAAGACAAAAACCTGATCTGATCATGTGCCACTGGTTCAATTTCAGATTGGTGTGACATGTCAGAGGTTTCATGGTATGGGCGAAGCTACTTTCTGTACGCCTTTAAAATGAGTTTTGAGTCTGATCCTGAGTAGAAGTTAATTAATTTGTCCATAGGGAAGCTTCACATTAAATTTAATCAAAATGTGATCAAAGTTATAATGGAAAATAAAGAACAGTGCGCACACATGCTCAGGAAAAAACGCGAGCTCCTCAGTTGTTGGAGGTAATTTTGTGAAGCTTAACAATGGGCAAACATTAAGAGGTGATGATATTGTCATGTTTTATATTGAGTGCATTCGCTCTACAGCACTGAGGACACGTGTCGTACAAACATATTATTCTCACCCTGAACCCACACTCCTTCCACATCACATGAGTTTATCTCCAAATGAACTAGTGGATGTTTGATACAACGAGACAGCTCCAAGGGCTGACTGAAGCCACAGTGTGTTAAAAGCTGGCAACTGATCGTATTTTGAGAACTGGCTAACTATTGAAAAAATACAAAACTCTCATTTTGTTTTGTTTCCTTTTGCTTCACTATCACAGATGTCCTTCAAGGTGAGCTGTCCTTGCATCATGCTCTTGAAAACACAATGAAGACGCTGGCCCACAGCATCTACAGTTAATTCCTCTGCAAGTTGAAAGAAAATACAAATGCACACCAGGAAGGAGCATTGTGTTTTTGAAAAGTGATTCGATGGATGAAAACAAAACAAAACAAAAATCACATTTAAAGCACATAAAATAGGTTAGAGGTACTGTATTTTCCACACTATAAGGCGCTTCGGAGTGTAAGGCACCCCTTCAATGAATGCCCTATTTTAAAACTGTTATCATATATAGGGCGCACCGCTTCGTAAGGTAAATTGAATAGAAACTACGATAGTGGCTGTAGTTGCATTATGCATCCACAAGATGGAGCTACGCTCAAGGGAATACAATAGAGTACAATACAGCTTTAGTTATATAGAGCTTTCACAACCGCTGCAGCTGTAACAACGCGCTTCACAGAACATTTATAATACTACGTCCAACAAATCAGAATATTGATCCATCTCTTTTAAAATCAATTTTTGCTTATTATTTGTTCATTACAACATTAAAACAGTTTTTGGGGGAATATTTGACTTTTGTTTCTGTTTTGTGGAACAAATACAAAAGGACAAAGTATCGTAACACGTCAAATGCTCTGACAAAAATTCATATCTTTTTGGTACAAGTATTA